TAATCCAAAGACATGTTTTAAACAATGTTCATATTCTTGTAAAAAATAATAATAACAATTATGAAAGCGGTAACAAGATAAAATTTGCACATAAGTTCATATTTGTATAAAATCAGATAATCAAGCCGAATATAACAGTTGAGCGACCGTGCTAGAACCACGGAACTCGGGAATGCCTAACACCTTCTCCCAGGTTAACAGAATTCCTTATCCGGATTTCTGGTACGCAGACTGTAATATGGAGTCATTCTTTTCCTCGATTCGGGATTAAAATTGGTGACTTGGGATACCCTAAAATCTCCCAAGTGGCGACTCTGAAATAAATAAACAAATCCCGTTTCGATTGTCTTTTAATTGGAAAAAACTCCTTTCACCCACGCTGGTGCCGAAAAAAGGAGGTGTGACATTGACTCTTGTAGAAGTACCTTAAATTGTATGATCTTAACTTTTCTTAACTGCTTTGACTAGAGTGTCTTGATGCTCCAATCTTGAGTGAGTCAGTCATGTGTCATGCGTGCGTGAGGGTTGTTGTATTCTATGCATTGCATTTGATGCCTAGAACTTGCCCTGTGTGTTTGCGAAGCGAAATAATAGTTTTATTCAGTCTAGGAAGTGATATAGGCATTTCTTTGTTGAGCGAGATATGTATATTTTACCCACCTAATTGTTATGTATCGTAGTTAACTCCTTTGAGCCTATAATCTTATTTCTTTGGCAACCACATTACAAGCCTTGCCCATTTGTTTGAATTAACCATCTATTTGAACCATTGTAACCTCTCATGAGCACTTGAATTGTTTATGAACTTTGTAAAAGTTAAAGTGTGGGGTGGTTGGTTTGGCTTTTGAGTGGAACTAATGAAATAAGGAGAAAGGGTGCATTGATTTGAAAAGCAAGAGCCACTTGAATTGAAAAAGAAAAGAATGAAAAAAAAATATAGTTGTATTTTTGTGAAAAAAATATATTCTTTGATAGTGGTGACTCTTGATATAATTGTGCTTAAATAATTTGGGAGTTGATGTATATTGATGTGAAGGTGGACTTTGGCTTGACATAAGTATGAGGTTTGAATGTTGAAGTATATGTATTAAAGTGCTAAGGGAGTTGTAGTCACTCTTATATCTAAATGTAACCTACCTGTCCCGTAGCCTGCATTACAACCAAATAAAGTCCTAATTGACCCTAGATTGAATGAGCTCTATTAGTAGAGTAGTACACTACGGGCAAGCTTATGGTGCATCTTTTGTGGCATATGAATATTATTTCTGAGAGTGAGTGAATTCTTTCTATCTTGAGTTCCTAAGTGTTCTTAAATTTTATTGTGTGGAACTACTCTCTTTTGTTGTGTGCGGGCACTTGATTCATGAAGGAAAGGTAATGTCAGTGACCTCTATGTTAGAGTAAGTAGGTGAATTGTGAATAATGCGTGGTACTTATGAGTCAAATCTTGAGGTGAAGATGTTACACTTTTGTGCTTAGTCTATTTTAAATACTCTTGGTGTGATGAGTTAGGAGAATTGTTTAAAAAGGTCGTGTCTATAAAAAAAGTGTAGTTTGATTGCTCGAGGACGGGCAATGGTTTAAGTGTGAGATGTTGATGATAGGCTATAATTACGTATTTTAGTCGATTATTACACTCTAATTTACTGCACTTTAGTTGAGTTTGCGCTTTAATCGCTAGTGTTTTGCACTAATTGTGTGTTTTATGCCTTATAGGTATGATTCCGAGCTATATAGATGTTATATAATGAATTTAAGTGGTTTGGAGCTTTGAAGTCTGAGTAATAGCTCAAGTAATTAAGCCGGGATCGCGTTCGGGGATCAACGGATGATAAAACAACAAAACGAAAACTCGTAGAGACATATTGCGCACTGTCTAGTAAAATAGACATAACTTTTTACAGAACCCCATTTGAGCTCCAAAATATATGGTTGGAAAGCTAACTCAAAGGGCGACAACTTTCATGTTTTACGTGTTTTCAAATTCCAAATGAAACAGGGTCAAAAACCGCGACCGCGACAGAACCGCGGCAGAGGGCAGTCGCGGACAACTGAAGAATCTGAGAGGGTGTTTGGCCGCAGTTCCGGTGCGACCGCGGTGGAACCGCGGCAGGATGCGTAAATTTCAGGGACCAAAGTGCAAAACACGGGATTTTAAGCCCTAAACCCTATATTAAACCAATGAAGCCGGCCAAGAATTGGAGAGGACATATTTTTGACATAGATTTGACCTGAGGAGGCAGAGACACAATAGGAGCAAGGTTGGGGAATTCTTCTACAAGTTTTTTCTTTTCTCTTCCTATTTTTTATTGTTGGTTATGACTTTTAGTATTGTAGTTTTACATACTATTATGAATAGCTAAATTGTTATCTAGAGTTTTGATAGAACCTTTTGTAGGATAAATTCTTGTTATGTTTTTATATAATTGAGCCGTAGAAATCTCTATTTGTTCAACTACGTTCTTATTGTAGCTAATTGAATATCTCTCAATTAGCTGTGCCTATATAGTGTGCATAACTCGGGAGAGAGTGCATATTTAGGTAATTGTTGAACAACACCACTCCCAGAGTATATGAGAGATCAATAACCGAGGGTTTAAAGGCGGGATTAGGGATAACGAAGCCTTGGGTGCGATCTGAAGTGAGCTGTATCAAAAGCCAGCTAGCGTAGCTCGGGAGAGTGCGTCTAGTAAATTGTCGTGATTACTCGGGAGAGATTTACGGTAATAAGAGTGCTCATGATCGGTAGAGAATACTTAGGCGAAATTATAGAAGACATAGCGGGAAGGATTCNCATAGCGGGAAAAATTCCGACAATTGGGGAAATCATAACTCTAGACCTCCTTAATCTTGTCTCTAACTCTTAGTATCTTTAGTTGTTAATTTATTATTTTAATTTGTTAATCAATTAGTTAAACACAAGAATCTAAATATCTATAAGTTATGAACTGTTCAAGCTTGTCTTCTTGGTGATAGTGAACAGCTGTAGCTAAGCCTTAGTTCTCTGTGGGATTCGACTCCGAACTTGTAAACCGGATTATATTTGCAACGACCGCATTGTCCTTTTTATAAGGCATAGTTGGGCGTGATCAGTGCCTAATCACCTCTCCCCAATATTTTTTTGGCCTACCCTTGCCTTTCCTCAAGCCCGCCATGGTTAACCTCTCACACCTCCTGACCGGGTCATCTATGCCTCTCCTCCTCACATATCAAAACCATCACAGCCTCGATTCCCGCAACTTGTCTTCCATGGATGCCACTCCCACCTTGTCCCTAATAACTTCATTCCTAATATTGTCTTTCCTGGTATGTCTACACATCCATCTCATCATACTCATCTCAGCTACGCTCATCTTCTGGACATAAAACTTCTTGACGGACCAACACTTAGCTCCATACAACATAACCGGTCTAATCACCACCCTATAGAATTTGCCCTTAACGTCTAGGCGGCACATTCTTGTCGCATAAAACCCCTGAAGCTAGCCTCCATCTCATCCAACCCGCTCCTATGCGGTGAGTAACATCCTTGTCAATCTCCCCCTCGCCTTGGATTATAGACCCAAGGTACTTGAAACTATCTCTTTTGGGAATAACTTGAGTATCAATCTTTACTTCTACTTCTTCTTCTTCTTCTTCTTCTTCTTCTTCTTCTTCTTCTTCTTCTTCTTCTTCTTCTTCTTCTTCTTCTTCTTCTCATCACTAAACTTGCACTCCAAGTATTGAGTTTTCGACCCACTCAACTTGAAACCTTTGGACTCCGGTGTATGTCTCCAAACTTCCAACCTAGCATTAACACCCCCCTCGCATCTTGTCAATCAATACTATGTCATCAGCAAATAACATACACTATGACACCCTCCCTTATATGTGTCGCGTCAGCACATCCAACGCTAGGGCAAACAAAAACGGGTTAAGGGTTGATCCCTCATGCAACCCCATCTCCACAGAGAAATGTTCCGAGTCTCCTCCCGCAGTCCTTACCCGAGTCTTAGCACTTTCGTACATGTCCTTAATCACCCTAATGTACGCTACCGGGACTCCGCGAACCTCCAAACATCTCCATAGTACCTCCCTCAGAACTTTATCATAGGCCTTCTAAAGGTTCCCTATACTGCTCCACCAATCGCTTCACAAGGTAAATAACTTCTATAGTTGACCGTTGATAAGTGGGGATTTTGACTACTTATTTGCGCCTTTTTACTTTCGTTTTGGCTCAAAAATATTAAAAGGTATTCCCGAAAACTAATAAAATATGCTTTCTTGCATGAGTATTATACACGAGTATTTCATAATTTTTGTAAATAAAATTCTTTAGTTACCAATACGACAATTTAAATAAAGATAAATACAAACATGGATATTATTTATGTTTGTATATTTTAAATAACTTAAGAATTATAAAGAGGTCAATATCCAACATTTCAAATATTTTTTTTTTAAATTTGAAAAAGCACATTTAAAGTAAAATTTTGGTAAAAGTAATAATATGAATCAAATTTATAATATGAACTCAAAACTTTTAAAACTTCACTGATTGCTGAAATCCACTACAACCAAATAAATATTTTAAAGGCAAGCAATTATTAGAACAACTTCAAAGAAAGTAAAAAAATTCCACCTCATTGATAATACGATTAAGGGTTTTACGAAGACTGAGAGGAGTGATCTTTCCAAATTTGAATCAAATAGTAATTTTATAAGAGATCAAATAGTTATTTCTAATAAATAATCTAAAATAATTTTTTAAAAAAATATTTCAATGTTTATTTATGATCTTTATGGGTAGATTATAATAATTTAGTCAAATAGTTTTCTCTTGGTTAATATTATTAAGTAGTTTTTTAAATAATTATGCTAACACTTAATAAATCACTACTCCAACTCGACTTCTTGATATAGGGCCAAAGTTACAATATTCCTAAACCTGAGGGACCAAATAATTACCGGTCCCTTCCCTCTTCTCATTTTCTTCATACATATATGTAGTGATGAACGACAGAAGACCTATTGCACTTTCTCTCTCCATTTTCGCAGAGAGAAAGGAGATTCCCTTTTAAGTCTTTGATCGATCTCTATCTTCGTTTTCCCGGCGAAATTAGGGTTTGAATATCGCTCATCGATCTCTGTTCCTCGATTTCCAAGGTGAATTTCTTTCTCTTTTATCTTTCTTCTTGCGATCACTGATCGATCGCTCCCTTGCTCGTCCGCACACGCACGTAAAATTTCTGTTTAGTTTTTTCACTTTGTTTTTTTTAATCTTCGTATCGTTTTTATTTATATTTTTTATCGTTTTTTTTGCTTTGATTTTCTGTATCTGATCATCTGGTATCTCTTCTCTATTTCCGGCTCGCAGTTGTTTCAGTGTAAGTTGTATGTTTAGGGTTGGAATTTTGATTCGTTCGCTTCTATTTTTATGCGAATGTTATGCAAAGTGAGAGCGTCTCGACTTTTGGCTATAGGTAGTTACGGAGGTTTCCTCGAGATTTTTTTTGTAGTTGTTGTTATTGCTGATTTGCCTCTAATTTGTGCAGATAGTATGCGAGATCTATTCTGTGTATTTGTTTCAATGAGTGTCTATTCCATGTAGTACAAGGCCTTTTGAGCAAACTTTAAGAAATTTATTTATTTCAAATCTTCTGTATGCTTCAAGTTTTTGCTTTGTACGAATGCGAGTCCAAGTTAGAACGTCTCTTTAGGTCCATTCATAGCTAAGCGCATCATACAGTATAATATTTTGGCTGAGCTTCCAGAAAGTTGTGTATTCCTGATGTTTAGACTTTAGGGACCTACTTGTATGACATCTTCAAGCTTTTGGCTTGCATGGGTACTAGTTGAAGTTGGAGCATTTCTTTAGGTCTCTCATTAGCAATGCACATTAATTTTTTTGGCAAACTTTGAGGACGTTGTGTATTGGTGACGTTTTAGGAAAGAATAGACGGTGGTCGATGCCAGCTATGGTCAAATAATCTACATGTCTGACCTCCTCATGTTGTGGTAGTTTAAATTTCTTTTTAACTCTTTGGATCACATGTAAAAATCTTCATGTCTGTTGACATTTCCAGGAGAGACTGACATCCAATTTGTCGCCTATTTACTTAAGGAACTGTACTTTAGTTTTCTCAATGTTTTCTTAGTCTAAAAAATGTAAGTAATTGATACAGTCCGTCTGATATCTTATTGATCTACCACTTGAAAAACAATATTTTCTTTTTTGGCTTATGGCTATCTCTTGGAGCTCTTTGATGTGGACTTGCTTCTTAATGTGATTGGCGCAACATATAGTGTATTCTTTTTTTTTTTGGGTGGGGGATAAGGAACTATGTTTGGCAAAACAAAATTAAAATTTCTTTCTCTGTGAAGTAGTTGATTAGAATTAGAGGTAAAATGCAAACTTCTGAACATAACAAAGTGTCTTCATGCAGGGACTAATTCTGTGTTGTATTTTATTGTTTGATCCATTTTTTCCGGAGTAAGTGCTTTTCTCTAATTAGATGCATCTTTTATCGGCTAAGCAAATCAGTGAGAAACGTGTAAGTTCCTTTCTTGAATTAGATGCGTTTGTCATTTATTGCTCAAGTTTCCAGTGAGAAATGTGAGTAACTGCTTTTTCAGAACTAGATGCATTGCTTTTTATCAAGAAAAAAGAAAACCATGAGTTGGAAACCTAAATCAGAAAAAATATCTCCCCAAAAGAGAACCCTATGTTTCCCCTTCTCCAAGCTTTTTTAGCATCTGAATTAGCCTGATTTTCTTTCTTTGGTGAGTGAAATCCAAAGAAATACCCTAAATGCTGTTGTCCAGAGAAAGTGCAGTTAAGTTTGTTTAGGAACTCCACAATAGTATTTGAAGAACTTGGATAGGCTACAAATTTCCCGAAGTAAGCAAATGAATAAGTTGTATTTTTCTTTTTTCTTTTTTGAGTTTTGCATATAAATGGCCGAGTGAATTGCGCTTGGTTGTATGATGATGACCATCATCAGTTATATAAGTGCTGGTAGAAACTCGTCAAAGCATCTACTTCGTAACCTGGACTATGTCTATTAAGACATGAGAGTGCAGTTTCCTTCTTCTTCCTTTCTTAAATAAGACTACACTTCTTGGAAACAAAGAAACAAGTCCCCCATCCCCCCACCCCACGCCCGATAGAATGAAGTGATTTTGTTATTAACCTCTTATTTAATTTGATTTTCTCTTATTTGGTTTGGGATGTGTCCAGTCTATCCCTTTGTAACTTATATCTACTCAAACTATTGCAGAGTGGATCTTGCTGTCTTGAATTTTCTCTGATGGTAAGCAACCCCCACTTCTAACCGAGAGGTTGTGAGTTCGAGTCTCCCCAAGAGCAAGGTGGGAAGTTCTTGGAGGGAAGGATGCCGGGGGTCTATTTGGAAACAGTCTCTCTACCCTAGGGTAGGGGTAAGGTCTGCGTACACACTACCCTCCCCAGACCCCACTAAGTGGGATTATACTGGGTTGTTGTTGTTGTTGTTATCTGCTTGAGCTTTTTCTCAATCTTTGGATCTGATCGGTGAATAGTGGATACTTGGTGGAGATGTAGGACTAGTTTTGAGATTTGCTTTCATAACTCTGGCTTGAGCTAGGATAAATAAAGAAAGATCAGTGTTTTTAAAAGCGGAAAGCGCAAAAAAGCGGCAAGGTCCATGTGACTTAAAGAGAAAAGCGTGAAATGAAGCACACTCTTAATACATATAAGTTCAGTACTATAATTATCTGAGAAATTAAACGTGACATAAAATTTCCAAAGCATTTTATTGAACAGATCTTCTGTGAAGTAGAGTGTTGCAGAGATGCCAAGTGAAGTGTACCCATAAATCTATGGGCTCGTGACAGGCTTCAGTGACCAACAAGCATATTTCTACTAAGGTGTTGAAATAGTGAAGAGGGGAGAGAAGCGGAGAAGATGTTTTCCTTTTAATTGCATGTCTTCGATCTAGCTCAATTTTTTATCTGGGCAAAGGAAGGGGGAACCAGAGTTTGACTCTGCTAATAGATTAAAACATTATTGATGTCTTAGTTAATCTGTGGTGCCAAATTCGCATTTCTGTTTGTGTCAGAAGTTCATTTCAGCTATGCTGAGGAGTACTACCCTTTTTAATATTACCTTATTCTTGTGTTTAATTTTAGATACCTTTATGAGTAAAATTACTCTCCCTGAACAGAATAATAGCCTCCTGCAGTCTGAATCCAGCTCATATCCATATGTAAAAAGAAGTCAAAAGTAATTATTAGTTTGCACTATATGTTTGGGATATTAGTTGTCAATGCTCTTATTTTGCACTATATGTTTGGGATATCCGTTGTCAATGCTCTTACTGCGGTTGCTTATCCTTCTTACCTTTTTTTCAACAGTGAGCTCTATATGCACTGCACCAATGAAGACAGGAACATCAACTCTGAATCCTTATGCAGAATCGTATGTGCCTATTTCGAGAAGAGGGGCACCTGATGGAAACAAAGAAGCTAGATTTTCTCCAAAAGAGTTCAAGAGTGGAAGTGAGGCTGTTTGGTTGGCACCTGGTGTCACAGCAGGTCGAAGTCAACAGCAGACTCACCAAACTACTGATCAGTACAAACTGAAGGACTATTCAGCTTATGGCTCACCATCACATAGTCCTGCAGGAGCTATGGGTAAACAAGTTCTGGACGAGGAATCCGACATGGATTTGGCTTATCTTCAGATGACTTTTCCTGGCATGTCAGATGAATCGCTTTCTGAGGTCTATTTAGCAAACAATTGTGATCTTGATGCTGCTGTTGACATGCTGAATCAGCTTGAGGTGAATTTTCTATGTTTGAAATCTGATATAAGTAGATTGTGTTTTTCATGGCATTAAAAGTTTGTTCTTGTTCTGATGGAGTTTCATTACGAAAGCATACCTTCATCGCGTCCACTATGCACTCAGTTCTTCATGCTATTATCATGCCTTGCCAATAAATTATTAACAATATTCTGGATGAAGATTGGACAGCCTTTAAAAAGTGAAACATAATTTGAAAGACTAGGAGAAGCTTTTACTTGCCTCTTCCAAAAAGGACTTGCAAAAGCTGTGTTGTTGGAAATAACTATGTTATTTCATAAATAATGTTCCTTCAACTCTCTTCCTTTATATGCTGTTTTGCCTCATCAAATAAGCCCAATGATCTATCTACGGTTGGAAATTGCTACTAACAGTAATTAAGTTGTCTTTCTCACGAAATTGTTTTGGGGAAAGAGGGCAAATAGTTCTTTGGTACATTAAATCTTCCTAATTTACATTGTCGTTCTTCTGGATTTCTTTGGAACTATGTTTTGGGGAAAGAGGGCAAATAGTTCTTTGGTACATTAAATCTTCCTAATTTACACTTTTGCTCTTCTGGATTCCTTTGGCGGGTTTATTGTCTTAGTCTCTTAGATACTCGTAGGGACTTGGGAGTCTCTACATGTTGCACTCTACAAATTTCTCCCATGGTTCCTGCTTCATCTCTCTCTCTCTCTCTCTCCCTCTCCCTCCCCCCTTTTTGGCCGCAAAATAGACAAGCATGTGAAATGCATAACATTCGGAAGGCATAAGTAAGCTTGTGGCTTTTAATGTGGGAGTTTCCGTCGTTAGGGAAGTATGTGCTCTTTTAGTCTTTTAAACCGGGGTGGGGTGGGTGGGCACATGCAAAGAGGGAGCATATCTTTTCTATCCTTAGTGCAGCACTGCAGCTGAGGGAAAATAATGATACTTTAGTTACCCGGCCAGCTGTTATTTCTGTTCAGCTATTCTGAAACAGGAACTAATGTATTGTGCAAGGTTAGGCAGTGTGGTAGGAAAGGTGCCATTTCAAAGTTGCGTCCCTTTAATTTCCATCTAGTAGATGTTTCATAGTGCCAATATAGAATTGATTTCAGGTGCTTTAACTTCATGGTTCTGATGGAAATTGTTCTCTTTCTTCTTAAAGCTTTACTCTGGTGATTTTTCTGAAAAGCTTCCAGACACTCTTGACATTGGTGACGTGTCGGACTCTGGGTTCTCGGGCGATAGTTCATCTCAAAAATTGAAGACGGTGGTAGGTGAAACTGTTACAGTTGCTTCGTCATCCGGCTTATCAGACTCAGCTCCAGGCAGTTAAGGTGGTTGTGCTGAAGTTTGTTATGAGCAGTTTTTCTATGTCTTGCTGTAGATATGGAAGTGTGGATTCTAAAGAAAAATGTCTTTTTGGTTGCAAATTTTCATAGATACATCTCTCCCTATCATTGTATAGGTTGCCTTCTTATACTTGTATGTCTCTCAGCGGTGGATTCAAGCTCTTCACTTGATAAACTAGTGATCTGAAATTTTTCCTGACAGTCTAATATCTACAGGAAAAGAATGATTTCCCAGCATGTGGATGTTTGTTTCTTGTGCAAATGAAATTGACATGCAAACATATGTTCAAAATGTTGTTAGCTTTGGCCATCGTCAATATCTGACGAGAAAAAGCTTCCTTCTTTTTCCACTAACTTCTTTCTTTGGAATATGTATTTTGTGATGAGCTGATGGTGCAATTTTGGAATGAGGTCAGAGTGCAGATATTTACCAGGGCTAAACAATTGGCAGGGGTCGTTGGCCGTACTACTTGTCTAATCTAAGTTGTCCTTTACTCGTGTTCGATGACATGTGGTGTTGCCGAGTTTCCGTGTAATTTGGAATACGATTGTAGGATGTAGTTATTTCTCAATTTGTAATTGATTTTTACTAAATGCGTTGATTCGCTAAGATGGGAATTAAGAATAGAAGGGGATATGATGATAAAGATGTCAGTCTAGGAATGGCAAGTGGGGCAGGTGCAGGGCGGGTTCTGGTTTAACCCGCAAAATTTCAACCTGTATTCACACCCGCCCCACTAAGTTTTTCAGTACATTTTTTCTTCAAATTGTCTTATTTTTAGAAACTTTCAATACACCAGTTGGAGCATCTTCATATTGTCTCAAGGCCCAAGGTCCATTCTTGTGATATTTCCGATAATGTGATAATTAGAAAACTAGAAAAATAAATTGTGATTTGTGATATTCACACGGATATGTTATATGAGTAAATTTAAGATAAGAACCAATTCATGCTCAAATTGTTAAATCAAAATTTACTTTACAGATAATGAAAATAATTAGTTGTACCATAAGATTAATATAGAACATTGATAAAGAAAAGAATCAAATGAAACTCCCAAAGAGTAAGAAAAAGGAATTTAATGCCAATAACTAAAAAATGCAAAACAGATTAACATAGTTGGGTTTTTCAATAACAGTAATCCTATATATGTAGACCTTCTTCATAACATAAAAAGCTTTAGAGATGCATTTTAATGGTTGACGAAGAGCACTCTCAAGTCTCACGGTATGGAGAATAGAGGAAAATATTATTATTTTTTTAATTTTGAGAGGGTCAAATATTTTAAAAAAGTCAAAGTAGTTTATACATAGGAGTAGTGAAGTTCCTCTAATGTTTAATGTCATTTTCGAACATTTCGAGCTTTATACAATAATCAAAGGTATTTAGATTGAAGCAGGAAAAATAAATAAAAATATTTGGAAATTAAAGTCAACACAGTATAATGATACACGTGAATATTTTTAAAAAAATGGTATAAGCAACAGATTGAAAAGCTTGAAGACGAGATTGATGCGAGTAACTAAATTTACAGTAGGAAAATATTGACCCGCCCCCGCCCCGCAATCCGCAAAAATTTCTTTTAAGAAAAATCAACCCGCCTCGCCCTGCACCGCCCCCTTGCCATCCCTAGATGTCACATTTTGGGAAATGCACCATGTCTTATCCCTTATTAATATGGATTTAAGTTGCATATATTGACACCGTAAAAATTCACCTTGGCGCAATTTAACTTGTAGTAGGTTACGTACAACAACAACAACAACATCCCAGTATAATCCCACAAGTGGGGTCTGGGGAGGGTAATATGTACGCAGACCTTACCCCTACCCCGAGGGGCAGAGAGGCTGTCTCCAAGAGACTCTCGACTCAAGGGAGCAACAAGAGACAATATATTAGTACTATCAATAGACTCATAGTAAATAACATAAAATACATAACAAAATAACAAGAATATAAGAAATATAGGAAATACGAAAAGGATGTAAGGTATACTAATATCCAACAGATATAGCCCTGCATTAGTAGTTGATCAGTAACATCCTAAGTCTAACTCCTAAATGGCTAGTCTACCTCTAGTGCGCTGTAGTAATATTCACAAACTTCTCCCTAACCTACAACCTTAATGCTCGACCTCCACAATTCCCTGTCAAAGGCCATGTCCTCAGAAATCCTAAGTCGTGCCATGTCCTGCCTGATCACCTCCCCCCAATACTTCTTAGGTCTCCCTCTACCTCTCATCGTACAATTTATTTTACGTAGTAGGTTACGTACAATTTATTTTAAGTTTTAGGTATAATTCCTCTAAATTATCCGCGTTTGTAATTTTTGTACTTAAACTATTTGTTGTTGCTATTTCCCTTTTGAATTATATTATTTCCTATTTAAAGTCCCTCGAAAAGTCTATTTAAAACCCCAAATTTTTTAATTGGCGTTGAAATTGGTTTCACCTTTTTTGTAGTGTGTGAGAACTAAAAATTAGGCTATGACGAGCACCTATATGAGATTTTTGGATTAATTTTTTTAATTAACTGTTCTTTTTTTTGTTGTTGAGAAAATAGAAACATTAAATTAATACTAAACTAGTTCCACCATATTACAATTCATAGTGATGTTACTTAGGACATTCAGATTACCTAGACTTGCTAGCGTATTAACAAAAAGAACCCCACCAAGTTTATCTTTTTCCACTGCATAGTTAACAAAAATGGAAGGCCTTGCAAAGCGGGTAATCTTATTCAACTTGGATTGATGGGAAGCTTCCTTTGCTAATATGTGTGCAACTGCATTTCCTTGACGGAAGGTGTGTCTAATAGCCAGGTATTTTAGTTGTAACATTAACAACCTGCAGTCATAAATAAGATCGTTAAATACTCCATTACCTTCTTTTATTAATTTAATCGCCTCCGTTGAGTCTGCTTCAATCTCTAGTGGTTGTAGTTGCATTTCCAAAGCAATTTGGAGGCCTTGTTTCAGTGCTAGAAATTCTGCCTAAAGTGGAGATGCCGCATATGTGCAGTTTGTAAAGCCCACAATCTAGTTTCCATTGGTGTTTCGGGTGAGGCCACCTAAACCAGATTGAAGGTTTTCCTCCTTGAAGGAACCATCCACATTTAATTTGTAACAACCATTTGGTGGCTTATGCCATTTGATATAAATAGTACAATTCTTGGTGATACTATTATCAGAGGCAGATAGAAATTTATATTCCAAAGCATAATGAATAATATTTTTTGTAGCCAATGATAAAGCCATATTATTGTGATTGTTCTTGTTCTTATTAATCCATAGACTCCATAGTATAAACGGGAAGAACTCTGACCAGTTAACATGAAAACTAGGTGTGTGTAAATTTAGATCTCCTACCCAACATAGCCAGTGAGTAGTAGAAGGAATGTTTATATTGGACACTCCTAACTTAAACCAGAAAGATTTGGCAATAGAACAATAGAAGAAAATATGAGTTATAGTTTTTGTAGAAGCTTTGCACACATGGCATATTACGTCAACATTAATACCTATGTGATGAAGATAAGATCTACAAGTAAGCCTTTCATGAAAACACCGCCATAAGAAAAAATTAATTTTATTGGGGCATTTTACATTCCAAATCCAAGTGAAGTCTTTGTTCGAAGAGGAGGGGTCATCAATAATTTTATAACAGGATTTCGTACTAAAGAGACCACTATTGTTGCCAGACCAAGTAGAGATATCATTGGTTTTATTTTTCAAGGGTAGTGAAATGATACACAAATTATCGAAAATATTTTTAGGCAGATTGAAGGATATTTTATATAGGTCCCATTTATTATTCTTACAAAAATCTTTTATTTTGAGAGATATATCACTTTTGGTCAAGCGACCTTTAATAAACTTTTAAGGCAAGGAATATTTGGGATCCATCTGGATATCCAAATATCCAAATTAGAATTGGCTTTCTGTAGCCAAAGAATTCCAAGATTGCAGTAATTCCAACCTTTCAGAACAATACTCCAAATAAAGGACGTATTGATTTTAGTTTTCCTAAATGCATGGTTATTAACAAGAATCTTGACCCACAGTGCATGCGGGTAGTGTAAGAGTCGCCAAGTTAAACCAGTTAGAAGGGCCAAATTTTTTGATTTGGAAGACCTTATGCCCCCCCCCCCCACTTCTTTATCTTTTAGAAGCACATTCCAACTAAGTAGATATAGTCTCTTTTTAGTGTCGGAAGATCCCCAAATGAAATTTCTTTGCACCTTATCAATTTGTTTCAAGATTTTTGAAGGTAAAAAAGCGTATTGCATCACATGGTTTGGAATTGAGTTGAGTGTTGAAGTTGCGAGGGTTGTCCTTCCTTTCATGCATTTAGTTTTCTAATTTGATAGTCTAGAATGCATATTATCAATAATGAATTGATAGTCTAAGGGCTTTGGCTTCCTGTTCAAAATAGGAAAACCTACGCACTTCCCGAAAGTAGAGATGATTTTGATGCCGAAAAGGTTTGCAATCAAGTCAGCATCATTTGTAAGGCAATTTTTAGAGAAGAAAATTTTTGATTTAGTGTAATTGACCTGTTGCCCAGTCAGAGCACAAAAAAGTTTGAGAGCATTCAAGATAGTATGACATGATTTTCTATTAGCTTTGACCATTAATGTGAGGTCATCTGCAAAAAATAGATGTGATAAATTTGGCCCCATATTATGCAGGCTAATGGGATCCCATTTATTCACGTCGACTTGATGGTTTATTAATCGAGAAAACATCTCCATACAAAGAATAAAAATGTATGGGGACATTGGATCTCCTGTTTGATCCCTCTATTTGGGCAAAAAATTTTAGTTCTCGAGCCATTGACGAGCACAACAACTTTATTAGTACAGACACAACTCATAATGAGCTTTGAGATCATTGGGGGAAACCTAAAGTATCTCAACATTCTAAAGATGAACAACAATTCCAATCGATCAAAAGCTTTTTCAAAATCAATTTTCAGGATCATATTAGCTTTTGACCCTTTCATTCTGTTGAATCTTAGTAACAGCTCTTGAATGATGATAGCATTATCGTTAGCTCTTCTATGCTTTAGAAAGCTTGTGTGATAAGGGCTAATAATCTTATCTAGAAAAGGCTTGATTCTATTATCTATAATTTTAGTAATAATTTTATACACTGTGTAACATAATCCTATTGGCCTAAAGTTCTTTAAATTATTAGCATTAGGAACTTTAGGAATAAGACAAAGGTAAGTGTGATTCATATCTTCGGGGATAGACTGGTTGGAGAATACTTGTTGGCAAAAT